TCAGCAAAATACACAAGTACACAGTGATTCGAAAAGGATAAGAAACAAAGCATATATTAAGAAAAATAAATATGAAATATATCCTTGTCATGATATTATCCTAATATTATAATATTTTAAAACCATATAAAAAGTCCTTTAAAATATTTGTATATAATCATTCGTCTTCACGTACGTTTTACTCTTAATATTTTGGATTGCATACTTCATACACATTATATTTTAAATTTGAGTAGATTTAGTGAGGCGATCCATTATAAGACACTAAAATTTAAAATGTCATTATAAAATACAAAGATTTTCATAAAATATTTGATTTTTAAATTAATATTTGTTTTTTAAGGTATCATCATCATTGATCTTTCAGTTAATATTCTTTGTCAAGAATTTCATCCTTTAACTTCTTATAATAAATACAGGTTTAAGAGCACATCACTAACGAAAAATAAAAAGTCATTCTAATAAGTGAAATTTCAAGTACAATCATCAGATTCTATTACGATATATTTAATTTTTAAATTGGATAGCTTGCAAAGTTCTTTCTTATACTCAATAATAACTTAATCACTCCATTTTGGGGGAACAGGGCATACAAATAAACTCTCCACTGAGCTCTGTTATTCGCCACTACTCTTACATGTGTTTATATTTTGCTACCCGTTGTAATTTCTTTTTGCACTGTTGTTTGCCATGTTGGTCTTGATATTTTTATCCTACACTTCTCCAGTGGATGCTATCCGATTGCCTGCCGGGCGATTACGCAGGGTGGTCTTCAAAGAATATAATCCAATCACTGCCACTATTCTCTTGTTATGTGCGTATTTACTGGTTCTTCGTGCGTATTAATCAACTACGGTTATTTTTGCTAATTCTACAAGGCAAGAAGGTCTTGCCATTTATTGATAAATACCTGAACTTTAATAATGCTTTTTAGATTTGCGTGCCGCAATAGTACATACTTAATGCAAGAGTTGAATATTCTAATTCTTGTACTTATGGCTAGGTGATGTGACCTTCAAGTTCTTTACCTCTTTTCGAATGCTCTTCTAGCCAATCTGATTATATTAGTTATGTTCTTTTCACTCACTCCATCTGAAATAATGATACTACCGAGATAGTTAAATGTTGTGAAGTCTTTCATTTTTTCGTCTTTCTTCTGACTTAATTTTCCATTGTAAAGTAAACTTATTTCGTTATCATTGTAAATTGCCTTGACCATTCTAATTATTTTCCCAGGCATTACTATGTTTTACAATGAATTTCAAATACCTATTTTGTATAATGCGTCAAAGGGCATTTCGAAGTTTAACGTCGAGCTCTATTCAACTGATTGTTTCACATTTAATCTTAGTGTATTCGAGTGGTCTATAATACATCAACGTTGTTCACGAAAACCGGCTTATGCTCTTTGAGATGATCTCTGTCTATTTTTTCTTCTGCTCTTGAGAGGATTATGAGGATTATGAGGATTATGATTTTATTTATTTTATTTTGGATAGTTAAACCACGCCAGCTCTTACATTCTCTGGTAGCTTTATTATTATACCTTTTTTATCTCATACCGTTATATCTACAACTTTACAATGTACTTTAGTATATAATATAAAAATTCTATTAAAATAAATGTTTTTACCTTTACACGATTTTCATTATCTATAAATTCTTTTCGAATGAAAATTAAACCATTTGTTGTTTTTAATGGCGATCTCGAATCTATAATAATAAAAAAAATTTAATTTATTTATGCATAAAGCTAATAGTTATAATTTATTTGAATATATTATTACGTCAACACAATAATTATATTCTTATAATTATGTATATAATATGCAATAATGTATATATGTAGATAATATATATAAAATTATGACCAACATAAAATTTTAAAAAATATTTTCATTATTTCTGTATAGAAAATTTTGATGAGTTTTTAAAAAACATTTTCTAAATTTTATTTTCACCCTATTATGAATATTTTTTTTTTAAATTAATTATGCAAATTTAATATACCTAACATATTTTATTACTACATATTATAACTATTATTAATATTATTATTTTTATTATTTAATAGGTAAGTTTAACAGAAGAGTGGAAAATTAAATTCGATTCTACCGATTATTGCATCCCTCGTTTTTATAAATTCAAAATGTACACAATGCACCTTCAATGAACACTGGCCGTCAACTAGTTATCAAATGAGACTTTGTAAAACTCTAGTAACCTTGTGAAAATTGTGCACTCCAAATATCAAATTTTCATGTTTAGCTTGAATGGCAATAATAACGAAAAAATGTAAGTTCTCATTTTATATTTTAAAGTCATTAAACAAATTAATTACATATTTCATATTTTATAGGATATTTGGCATACTTTGAAAATACAAAACAAAAAAACTTGCTGATAAAATTTGGCATTCGCGAATAAATATATTGAAATGGGCATACTACTTGACAATTCAAGTTTATAGCGTTTCAACAAATGCATATTTTTGGCAAACTCATTATCAAAATTTGGACAAACATTTTAAATTTGCAAAAAACGGGAATTGCTTACCGAAATTATATGTATAGCATGCGCTTTTGTATATGGAATTCTACCTAAGGAGTTATTTAACATTATGTATAGATATGAGCATATAATTATGAGCATTTATAATACCTCTATCTTTGCAAATGTGAAAGTATATTGTCAAATCCAAAGCGCGCCTATTATAAATAAATCATATAATATGAAAAATCAAATTAACAAAACCAATTTAATTCTTTATTATGTAGTTTCGTGTATTTCACGAAATTAACGTTAATATCTCTTGCCTGTCTAGAATCTCTTACCTGATTATTACATATTATTCATGAATATAGAGGAATTTCCAATAAAAAATTACTGCCATTGCCTGTTATAAATATTTGATAGCATCAATTTTAAGTTAAAATGTGAATTGGTATATAAATTTTATTCACGAACACATTCACATTGCTAACAAAACGTCAAGGCTTTGGAAAGGACATTTATCCTTATTATAATATGCGATTACAATTTTAATATCTTATTTACCACAATTTTTTTTATTTCATTTTCAAATTACATTTACTTTTCCTCTGAAATTCCGTTTTATACAAAATATTTGTCCAATTTCTGCATTTTCGTAAATTTTTGTAATTTTCAGTTAGGTATTCCCTAACACAAAAAAATAGTACTTTAGAAAAAGATACACGGTCCCATTTCAATAGAATAAAATTAACATTATTGTTGGTGCACACACAATATACAATAAATAGGTATTCTTCTATATATATATACATATGTGTATAATTATGTATATGAATGAGTAATATGGCATTCATTTCATTAATGATATGGTGAAAATTTTTAGGAAACAAATTATCCAAAAGGGAATAAAAGCATAATTTTTTGTTCTACATTTTTTCTATTTTTGCATTTAAATTTAATTAAGAAACTTCGCTGTAAAATTGAGGTTTATGATACTAATATGTAGTAACTATATAATATTTAGGTACCATAATACTAAAACTATTATTTACACCACACCATCTTCACAATATAAAAATAATAAAACAAAAGGGAAAGAAAAGAATAATATAAACATTTTTTTTTAGAATTATCCTGCAAAACTATACAACTCTAGTGTTAAATACAATTTCAGATATTATGCAACGAAGGATGTTCTTACATTATTTGTATAGACGCAGGATAAAGGATGTTATTATAGTCTTATGATGGAGAGAAAGAAAGTGAAAAATAACAAGATCCGTTCATTATGGTGATTTTAAAAAAATGGAAAAAAGTAGTTTCTAATTTTGATTGTTATTAGAAAATTGTTTTAGGATTTTGATTTTATGCAATCTTAATAAATAACTGATGAGTATTAGGTGCATGATATTAAGCTTTACTACGTAATAGTATAGTAGTAAAGTGTGGTAGTAGTAATCACTTAATTCTTTTGTTGCTTTTCAGATAATTACATTACAACTATGTACTTTGCTTGATACCGCCTTATACGTTACAGAAAATACGCATTTTTTGACGGATCACTGTAAAATATTTCAATATCTCGAAAAAGTCACATTTTGTGCAAATATCATTCTCATCTTTACTAAATATTCTGGGGAAGTCAAAGATTTTTCTTAAAAAATATTTACAACGTTTGGACCCGTCGAAAACTAGCGAAAACGGAGAAAATTAGAAAAAACACGCTGTTCGGAGGATCACTCTAAAAAATTTTCAAAGCTTTTGAAAGCCACTTTTTGTGAAAATAATAAGATCTTTCTAAAAAGCATACATAGGACATGAATAAGTCGACGATACTACTGAAAACAAATAAAATAAGAATAGGATGACGATGCTGCCAAAACTGGAAACAGTAAAAAAATACGTATTTTTGAGTGGATCTCTGTAAAAATCTTCAACACCTTGCGAAATTCATTTATCAATAAAAATACGCCTGAATTCCCTAAAATAACAGAAAATATTAACAATTTTAACAAAAAAAAATTCATCATAAAACTGAGCGGAAGGAATTGTTTTAAAATTGTTTTTACTCCGCAACTATTATGCTTTAAATTAAATTTAAAATAATTTCCTCTCATATTTAACAACACTTTAAAGACTTTATATTTTAATATAAAAAATTTCTTTTATAACTTCCTATTTATAATTTTTTTATAATTTAAAATCATTTTATTTCTTAAGTCAATTAAATAAATTTTTATTTTACATTTAATTTTAATTCACCTTGAGCAAAAAAAAAATAAAACAAACAAGCAAACAAACAAAATAAAAACTTTCAGAAATCTTTTACTTTTGTTAAGAAAAACCATTACGAAAACAGAAAATTATATTTAAAATAAATTTTCCGAATAAACGCTACCATAAACCATTGCTACATACTAAAATTTTTTAAATATATACACAAAAATATAAACATAAATATTTTATATAATAATTATGAATAGGATAATATTAATGAATAGCTAGAACAAGAGAATACAAAGGATATTATAAAAAAAAACAAACATAAACGGAAACTGTATAATAAATTATAAATAAGGAAGTCTGGTAGCCGTCGTCCTTACGTTAATGAACTACTTTTTTGTTAAAATTTAAAAGACCATAAAAGGTCGTACATAAAATATTTTTATAAACGCACATAAGAAATACAAAAATTTATGAAATTTCTAAAAACAGCAAAAAATTAAGTTGGATCAAACCAATGGTTTGTAAAGTAATACTTTTCCCTTCACTTACAAATAGTACTTTTAAAAACACGCTATATACCACAATACTACGTAATTCAAATTACTTTCATTCATCACCAAAATATGTCAAAGATTGCATACATTATTTGTGCCAATACGAGGCACAAAAAAACATTTGAAGGAAGCGTTAATTTCGTGAGTTAAGATAAATAATTACATTTTTTAATGCACCGGATCTTATAAATTTCAGATTCGCTAACTTCGGTAAAAAAATTTTATTCCAGTAAAATTAATTATAAATTATATCTAAAAGCTGCTAAAATTTGAGAGTTTTACAACCTGCAGTCTAGAAGAAAAACGATGTCAACAATTTGAAACTGACGGATTTTAGATAATGGTAAATTTTGATGACTATTTTGTTTCCATTTTTTTCTGCATTTATAAAATTTATAAAATATTTCTGGTTTTGTTTTAATAAATAGTTTATAAAATTTCATTTTTAGGTCTTTGAGGGGCTATAACTCTTTGGAGGGAGGAGGAGATTGGTCAAATTTTTTTCTACGGAAATAAGTTTCTAGTAAAGATCTATGAACATGTGCAATTTCAGCTTTCTATCTTAAAGGGTGAAGAGGTACTGTTAGGATAGACGGACGAACGGACAGAGCAAAACTAATAAGCACAAATTTTTTAAAAATTTTTTTTGAAAAAGTGCTAGAAAAAAAGCATAGAATAAAAGAAAAATATTATGAAAATTGTTTATATTTTTCGCATATTGTGCCAGTCATAATAATTATAACGATTCATTATATTGTAGACAAGGCTGGGCTCTACACACAAATTAATGATAAATTTGACGGAATGTTTATAAAAAGCAAAAAAAAAAAAATAAAAAAAAAACAGACAAAATTATGAATCTTAAATTAAAACTGTGTAAAAAAAAATTAGAAAAATAAGAAAGGAAAAATTTTTTATATAAAAATTTTAATTTCCTAAAGAAGAATCTCTCACTCATCCCATAGATTGAATTTTTTTTTCTGTTTTGTTCGGAAGCTCATTTTAATAGACCCTGAATAAGAATTTTATCCACTTGTTCTCCTATAATATAAAAGTATAAAATTAAACACAAAAAAAAAAAAACATTTTAAAAAATATCTAGGATATGATGGAAGGAAAATTGAAAATTTTTAATGTCCTGTGTAATTTTAATAATAACAATAAAATGATGAACATTTGAATTGTATTCTGTAATTACCAGAGAATTTTAAAAGCTTTTCTGTTAGTTATATTCTAAGATTATTATTAAGAGTTTATGCTATAAAGAATAAATATTCCTCATAAATCTTATAATAAGACGACTACTAAGATGAAGCTCTAAGTCAATCAAATTACGAAAGAAGATCGTCATCAATTCAATAGGAAAGAATATAGTATGTCGAATATAGTAGAATATAATATGTATATAATATAACGAGGCACACAAAATCGTAATTTAACAATAAAATTTTACTCAAATTGTTAATTTTCCAGAATTCAATTTCATATAGAATTATAAAGATTTAGTAGATCGCAACCGTCGTAATTGGCTTATTCACTCTAATAGATAATTCTAGCTACACTATATGTTAAGGAGGATTATTAAAATGTTAAATCGATCAAAAATTGAACTAGTTAATTAGCCAACGAAATTTTGCTGTATGACACTACTATACGAAATCATTCGAAAATTGAGCTAATTCGTCCTCATATATAGACTAAGTAAAAGAGCAGCAAAATAATATTTATAAGAAGGAAACAAATACTTAAGGATGTCAGTAAGAAAAGTTAAGGTTTTTTGTATAACAAGAGTCTATTAATATAATATATTTTTAGGAAAAGGAAACCTACCCAGATCAAAAGAATTTTTTTCGGAATTTAATCATCACTGGAAGTACTAACAGAACGATATTATCAGGTGCAGCGTCCACACTTGCCACATGTGTTCCAATACAAACATACCGCAGAATTATTATGTTTCTTACAGTTCCTGGTATTTTAAACTAATTCTCATTAAATAGAATTACAATCAAGTTTAAATTCACTTTAAAACTTTAGATAATCAAAGAGTCTTATCTATGCTTTTCTTTTATATTAATTTTAAGAGCTTTTAAAGAAGTACTTTTGCATTTTATTGAATTACTTCACCTCTGATGAGCTCAACTTAATTCATTTTTACAAAAAACTTCAAATATCCTGAAATTTTAAAGAATTTATAACATAACTTTGCTTCCATCTCATCCTATACTTAAACTTGTTATAAATCAAAATTAGATTTTCAATTTTGGAAAATTAAGAAGAAAAAATATTTGAGAATCTCTTTATTACTTTCATTTTTAATATAATAATTACGTTAAAATGAAATTTCTTTCAAAAGATAAATTACTAAAAAGTATCATTAAAAATTATAAATGAATTTCTGAATTATTTTTATCCTTACAAAAAAAAAATTCTCTACTCGTCATTCCTTCATTCATACTCAAACAACAACAAAAAAAAAAAAGGATTTAGGTAGAATTTCGAAAATTTCATAATAATAACATGAAAAAAGAAAAAAATATCTGAAAATCTTCACTTGTAATGGAAGATATTCTAATTTATGATATTATTGTACAAAATGGATTTGATTTCAAAATGAAATGGAAAACAAGTTGTGTAGCCTATACCTGTACATTTTCATTAAAAATTATAACATATACTTGTGATACGTGCCTACATTTACAACAGATAATTTTAGTTAAAAATTTATAATATCCATATACGATTAAGTGCAAATAATTTCTTAAATCAAAATCTGTACGGAATTGGTTTCAATTTCGATTGAAAAGTGCAGGGATGTAGTTGAAAAATTTAGTTTCCTGTAATTGTGTTTTATCTTTAACTACACAATCATATAAAGCATATGTGTGGAACGTTTAATTTTCGAAATCAGCTCACAAAAAGAGATACGATCTGCTATTCGATAACAAATAATTTTGAATTTTACTGCCTTGACTGGCCCTTTTGCTTGGTTATTCAGGCGTGTTGCGGTAGTAAGAAGAAATTTTCATTGTTTCGAATTCAAAACCTTCTCTTCTCGAATTTTTTTCTACTACATTTTCACCTTTATTTAAAAATGTTTTCCAATACAGCACAATCCTATTGGCAAGTATATATTATCCATATAAAGAATTTTTTTCTTACAAACATTACGTGACGTGAAATTCTCAGGCCGCCTTCATATGTTCAATTTTTAAAACAGTGCATAATCCTATATAAAGGTTGCACATTCCTCACAGTATACAATATGTTATATAGGAATGAAATATAAGCCGAAACAAACATTTGACCTAAAAGTATAAAATAAAAAAAAATTTATGTTAAAATTTTCAAATCTACTTTTACATTCATTCACGTATATTTTAAAGTGATTTTATTTACTTAAATTATTTACACATATTTTCACTTATTTACCTATATATGTATATGTTATAATAGGTACTTGACCCAAAAAAATAAATAAGAAACACATTTACATACAGTGTAAAGCAAAAATATCAAAATCGGAAATAAAATTGTATTTGAATTGAAATTGAAAAAATGGTGTGAAAATGGTAAAAATTTTTACTCTAGTAGTACTTTCGGCTAATAAGGCTGAACTATGAAAAATTGTTAAACAGATGGTTCCATGACCCTCTAAGTTTTATAAAAGCAATATTCAAAATGAGTTATTAGTGAATTCGCTCAGAAAAATTGAATGTTCTTTAAATTTTAAAAGTAGGGTATACACGGCTATACACACAAATTGGCTAATTTCTCTATTAAATCCATAAATTTTGAAATATCTTGTAATATAAACTCTTAACAATTGGCAAACTTTTCATAAGATTCACCACTTTTAGAATAATTGTAAAAGATCCAACAAAAAAAATTTACGTTATTTGAAAAATGAAAAACCAATTGCAAGGATTACACCAATTTAGATTTTAACCAAAAACTGAAAACAAACCACAGGAAAAATTATTTCCATTCTCAGAAAATTGGAAAATCATTGCAAACTTATAAGAATCTTCTTATCCAATTAAAATACTTTATTTAATCTCTCATATTATAAAAACATTTCAGCACTCAAATACTTTTTACTGGTAATGGAAACTTACAAAAAAAACATGGCAAAAATTAAAAATTTACTGCATAAAATCAAAACTTTTTCACTTAATACTCTCGTGTAAGAAAATTTACTAGTTTTTTCAAATTTATTTTAACTCTACACAAGGTTAGCCTTCACTTATTAAACAACATTTACTATTCAGCATAATAGCATCGTGTAGAATAAGGAAGATACTGAAATCTTAACAAATTTGATATGTTGAGTTTTGAACTATTTATAGCGATAATTCGGTTTTGGTCTGCTAACCTGTCTGTTAGTCTATTTGTGTACAATAATCTCGATTGTAACTATAGTGATTTTATTGAAAATTAATATCTAAGTTGTCATTGTAGGTGTGGTGAATTGATTTTTGAAGTGCAACGAGCAACATAAAATAAAAGGAAATTTTGTAATTTTGAATCTAATTTGGAAAATAATGCAATAATATATTTGTTAAAATGTGTCATTTTTAACCATTTTCAGTCAATTTTTTGAAGATATGAAAAATAATCCTGAATAATCGCCTCATTCGTAAAGCATATTCACCATCATCGCACTTTCGTGGTAAGATATCTTAAATTATTCGAATATTATTTTAGTGTGCTCATGTTCGTGTCGCATTAAAATAAAAATTTGGTTTTTCATCAGATTCAACCGTCCTTTCAAATTTTTGTATAATTACATAACAGCTACCAGTAATACATTTACCGTTAATAGTGTACATAAATCCGATTTCTAACAAATTTTAAATATGTCTAAAAAATACTTTATTTTTTTTTATAAGCATTATACAAATGCGGTAAAACACAAAATTCATGGTTTTATGAACATCATTTTTTATATATGTAGGTATTTAGGCCGTAAAAATAAATCGATTAACTACAATTTGAAATTCACGTAAATTTAATCTATACATGAGTACATAGGTACACAGAAACTTTCAGTTCCATCCTTTACATCTGCTTAACACGTACATATACGAAATTTAAAAAATCTAACAGGAATAATAATTATTTTGTGTACTTATGCAAAAGTTTTACAAATTGCCAATGCAAGATTTCATTTTCATTCAATTTATATAACATCAATAGACATTTGTATAACAGTCGTATAATATATAAACGTATAACAGATTTTAAAGAATATAATATTTTTGGTATATATTTTGATGTAATTTTAAATTGAAATAAATTGATATGTTATGCAAATTATCTATTTATGTAACATCAAATAGGATTTATTAGAGTCCTTGGAATCTATACATACATACATAAATGCATGCTTACAAGTACGAGTATTTTTGTTTATTTCTTTATTGTACATTCATCTTTACATCAAACACAATATTTATTTAGGAGTTTAGAAAAAAAGGATATGTAAAATATAGAGAAAAATAACTACCAATGCAAATTGTAGTTTTTCTGACATACTTTGGATATGTGCCCAAAAGGATAAAAACCTATTCAATAAATAAAT